TAAATATCCGCTTCGTTGATCCTGACAGTGCCGAAGAGCGCTGCTTCAGCAGTGAAGTGGCGTTTTCGCAGAGGGATCGATTTCCTGGTTAGTTATGCTTGATTCGCCTGCGTATGGGGTGCACCGGAAGCGTTGCATAAGCACACTATTTGTAACCTCAAGCAGAATTACTATGGGACAATCGTTCTGTGAGGGGCAATGCTCCCACAGGTAAAGGATCAAAGACGGCTGATTAAAATATTGTCCAAAATGCGGAGCTTAGTGTATTTGTTAAAAGGGGACCTCTCTGAAAAATTGATGTCTTATGATTGAAGTGGTTCTATCGATGACCTGCTTCGTAAGTTGATTGAACCCATCATGGTGAAAGCCAATAGATGGGACCGCAGGATGATCTGATTTAGTGTCTGCTCTGAGCAAGCTTCCACTGAGAATACACGCTTGTCTACCTATAGGCTCAGCAATAAATATGCATCTTCTTTCGTGCATTCCAGTTTCAGGCTAAACGAGGTTGCTAGCATATCCAGGTAATAAGACATCTGAGGAGTCAAGTTGACATCCCTGTATGGCTTCCCTTTTCTTATGGGGCTCTGCGTCTAATTCATTGGGGAGGTCTCGCACTCATGCGACTTCACGCATTGTAGTAGTATGGTTGAAGTTGGGTTTGAGTTTTATGTTTCCCTGCCTTAAAAAACAAGAAAAAAATACCAACTTTTTTTCGATAATAGATTACATATTACAGCTTGGATGGCACGGATCATTTTTTTTTTTTTTGGTTGCTTTGGACGAGTTGATTTCTGTGGATAGGCCCTTTGCCAGAACAATGTCAGGATTGAGGTCTGCGCCACCGCCGCCAACAAACGTTTGTTGGCGGTGTGCTGTGCAGCTAAACACCCGAGCGGCACAAAGTGCAATTCGGTGCAAGGTATGTGGACGACTGTTTCATCGCAAATGCTATTTGACTGAGACTGGTGTAAGTAAAGAAGGGCTGAGCCCTTGCATTTGTTGTTTGTCTGGGATTTCATCGACGCCATATCCTTCACGTATTCAACAAAACTCAATGGCAGTGAAATTTCTTCGTGATGGCTTCTGCGTAATTTCACTTGCCAATAGTGCGAGCGAAAGGAAGGCCATTATTGAAACGCTTGTGAAATATAAAGCCAATGCGGATCGTTATTTTACTGCATTTATGCGTGCTTACGAAGCAGAATTGGAGTATTCGACCAAAATACCTAGCCTTGAGAGTGGCTTTTCCAATTTCAGACAGAGAGGGAAGGGCAGGTTTGAACTGATATCACCTCAGATTGAAAAGGAGGTACTCAGTGTCATTGGGAAGTGTGACTTATTGTGGACCTGCCTAGATGTGCTGTTGACTCCCGCAGGAAGAGTGACTAGGGCACCCAAGAAATCGATCTCGACCGGATGCTTTTATTCACTTCCTGGAAGCTCAACCCAAAGTCTTCATACAGATGGGCCTCCGTTAAGCAATGTGGTTGACCTTTATCCGTACGCCATCAATGTGTTTATCCCACTTGTTCCGGTTGACAAGAACAATGGCACAGAGTTTTTTGCCGGATCTCATCGTGGGGAATGGCATTCTAGATCTCCACTGAAACAAAAATCGGTAACACCAACTATTCCTCTTGGGAAGGCATTGCTGTTTGATTATAGAGTGTTGCATCGTGGCTTGGGCAATCGGCTTGGCTCTTCTCGTCCGTGCTATTATACAACTTTTGCCCAGTCGTGGTATGAAGACAAGTTTAACTTTAGTTCAGTGCGGTACAGAACAGCTTTGAATGTGCCTTCCTATCTGCTAGAACGAAGAGGTGATGAAAATGCGAGGAAAAGACAAAGAATAGAGTAGTTGCGTCTTTCATATCGCTACTGTTATGACATTTGTACTGTTGGTGGAGTGTCGCCGAACGTCTCAAGCCCCTATCTGAGATACAAAAAATTTTTTTCGTCCTCCTTTGATGGTCTTTTTTTGTTCATCATCACCTCTCGTTTTCTTAAAGAGGAAACAAAGCAAAAAAAAAAAAGAAAAGACAAAAGACCACACGTGAAAAGGTAAGACTAAGCATTACGGCAATGGGTCTTCTTACTCTGTTGAGGAAGCTGAAGCGCAATGATAAGGAGCCACGTATTCTTATTCTTGGATTGGACAACGCTGGCAAAACCTCTATTCTCCGCAAGCTTTCAGATGAAGATCCAACCACGACTCAGGCCACACAGGGTTTCAATATCAAATCTATCAATTGTGAGGGCTTTAAGCTAAATATGTGGGATATTGGCGGCCAAAAGGCAATTCGAGCATACTGGCCTAACTACTTCGATGAAGTGGACTGCCTCATATATGTTGTGGACTCCGCGGACAAGCGCCGTTTAAGCGAGACTGCCGCCGAGCTTGAAACTCTTCTTCAAGAGGAGAAGCTGCGAGAAGCTCCTTTCCTTGTTTTTGCCAATAAGTGTGATCTGGCAACTGCTTTGTCTCCTGAAGACGTCAGCACTGCTTTGAACTTACAGAGCCTTCGTGATCGTACGTGGTCTATTCAGAAATGCAGCGCGAAAACCGGAGAGGGTCTCAACGAGGGTCTGGAATGGGCTGTGAAGAATCTGAAGAAGTAGGTGAATGTGACTGAAATAGAGCTTCTTGTTGTAAGGTAGAAAACACAGTGTCATAATACGATTCTCCTTTTTGTGATGTAAGGGTATGGATTATGCTTCCCTGCAAGCATTGATTTGTTTCGTTCTGCGTTTTTCTTTTCTTTCGTTTTTTTTTTCAGCTCTCCAGGCTTATTTAAAGTTCGATTACAATGTTCTCTGTTGGGACGGTATGTCGTGCCGCTCTTGCGTCACACCGACCGGTGCTTGCTTCATCTGTTTCTTCCAGAGGCATTGTAAAGCGTCTTGTGGGTGATCGAGGGAACCGGACTCCAAATATTAGTGCTATCAATTCCATCATTACAAAGACCAAAGGCCAAGGGTTGCCTGGAACAGCAAGTGTGGTGGGAAGGGCTGCGTTCTACGTGCGTTGCAAGAATCCAGAGGCTGCAATTGAGGAGATTGACAAAATCCTCCCTGAGATTAAGGACAGCGACTTAAGGCGCCTTGCAATTGGAATTCGTCTTCAAGCGAGGAATGACGTTTTGGATATGAAGGAGGCAGCACTGCGAGTGGACGGGGGAACAACAGAGATAGACGTGTCTACACTGCGCTCCGCACTTCGTCAAGACTATGAAGACTTGAAAGCAGCTTCTCCTGGATGCTGGTTAGTTGAGATGGCTGCGGCTGAGTATTGTCTCTATGAAGGGGATGCGGAAAAGGCCTACGACACCTTTCGTGGTATAGAAGCAAAAATCAAGAATTTTATTGCATCTTTGGGAAAGGCCAAGATTTCCACGGAAGTGGCTTCTGGCGAGAACATATATCCACCCTCATTGTTGGCTTTTCAGCTGACTCGTGCTCATGACACCAAAGGCTTGAAACCCTCCGCTTCAAAACTGCTGGAAGAAAGTATTAAAAGTATTGTGGAAGATGAGTCACTTCAAATTACATTCTCTACATTCAAGAAGGATCTTGGAATCTCTGTAACAGACGAAGAGGCTGTTGAATTAGCCTACATCCTTGAGGCGGCGCACATCCACCACCATTTTCACGATTACTTTCCGTTGGATGGCGAGTACAATGATTGGGGGTCCGAAAAGGCAAAGGAAATCAAGGAAGGGATCATTCACATCCACGCCCCCAGTTCAGCCGCTCTTGATGATGAGATGCTTGAGAAGGTAAGGAAGTCGGTCCCACCTCAGCCGTTTTACGCCCCTGAAGAAGAACTACGAAAGTTTCTCTCTTCTTCGTCCGGAAGCAAAAACCACCTTGCTGAACTCCGCGCGAAATTCGGTCCTGGCCCAGAGGGCATTCTTGCAAAGGCTGATGAATCTTACTTTGAAGCCATGAAGGTCTTGAAGGCCGCCCCAGTTTCTGCCAACGCGGCTGGTGACGAATCATATGCTGTGGGGCAAAACGAGATAAGTCGTAAACTGGCACAGCAGCTTCTGTACCGGACACAGGTCAGCGCTGCAGTTGCTTTGACGCAGTTGGACCGTCTCACTGAGGCTATGGAGATCTTGAATAAAGTGATCAGAGCAAACGAATACATTTACATGTGGCGTGCCTATCTTGCGAGGGGAGAGGCAAATAAGAGGCTGGGACTCATCAGCAATTCCGACAAGGACTTCCGTCAGTTGTCTGGGTTGAAGAAGAGTTTGTGTCATGACGTCTAGTTGATTATACATAGGATTCTACTTGAAAACGCGACTACCGGTTTCCGCGTGAAGGGAAAAATGAGAAGATTCACCTGCTTTTTCTTGACAAGCAAACAAAAGAGGTCTTTTTCATTTTCAGCGCCCGATTTTGTTTAGGTGGCTAGAATAGTAGGAAGCAGCGCGTCAGCAATGATGGCCAATGGTGTTCTGCAAAAATTGAGGGGGAAAGGGGACGTGAAATTGCACTGCTTGTTGCGTGTTTTTACCGGATAAGTTGTATTTGCTTGTTTTTCTTGGGGTGAAAAACATGCTTTGCTTTGGATGTGCGCTGCCTTGTTTCTTTTTCTTGTTTTAAATCTAGCTGTGCCGTGTAGCCATGTCCAAGAGGGCCCGCGTTAGCTGAAGAAGGCTGAATACGAATTCGGGACCACCATTTACCCGTTGTTGCGGATCCACCGTGACGTGTGCGATAAAAAAAGAAATCTGAGACCTTTAGGTACGCTTATTTGCGTAAAAAAACCAAACGCACATCACTGACATTACTTTAAGAGGATTGCCATAGGATGCTCAATTTCCCGCATATGGGCCAGGGATGGGGTGGAGTCTAGGGAAGTGGAATGGGATATATAGCCGTTTGATGTGTAATGCTAGGTTGCGTCTTGGTACTACAGCAAGATCACTTCGGCGGAAAGGGAAGTGTTTGCCCTTTTTCAACGTTATCGTATTATTATTATTATTNTTTTTTTTTTTTTTGAAAGGTGCGCGAATGAATGCGGTGTGAACCTGATCTGCTAAACGCTCTCAGTATCTCTGCAAGTACACAACATTGCGGTTGTTCCTTCTTTCTGGTTAACACAGGAGGTTGAGAAGTCGCAGTTATGTTTGACTCTCTTCTGCGCTTTGTAGGCTTCGCGGAGAAGTGGCCGACGCTTACTATGGATGAGGTGCGCCAGCACAACGACCGCTTCTCGCTCTGGATTGTTGCAGGCGACTCTGTATATGATGTCACTTCCATCGTCGAATCTCACCCCGGTGGCGCCTCTGCGCTCCTGCGCCGAGGTGGTGGTGTGAGGGACTGCACCGAGGACTACTACTACCACAGCCGCGCCACACGGAAGGCGTGGAAATCGTACAAGATTGGCGTGCTGTCTCCAGAAGGATGTGATAAGTTTGAAGAAGACGAGGGCACATGTATGACCAGTTCTCCCGAGGGAGATGTCTCACCAGAGTCATCGCCAGTAAACCACGCCTGCGCTATGCGCGAGTGCGACGGGGGTGGCGATTGCTGCTGTACGAGCACTGTGGAGACGCGCGGTAGTACATCTGAACCAGTTCCGGAGCGCCGATGCGTCGAATGCTCATACCGTCAACCAGTACGGCTAGCGGCTCCACCGCTACTTTTGTAGGATTTGAATGTTTCCCCCATCTTGATAATTCATACCAGTGCAGGCTGTGTGACACTCTTGTGATTAATAGGCACCCCAAAAGAGTTACTACTGCGTTTGGTGCGGTGCGTTCAACCGAATATTCATTTAGCTTCAGGTGTACCAAATGGGAGCAAGAATCCCTTTCAGTTTCAAGCAAACCAAGAATAACAACAACAACAACAACCACCACAACAGTAAAGACTGACTGCACAGAAGCATATTTTGAGGAAATGCCTCGAACTCATTTCCGAAAACTGTGGATGCTTTCCTACATCTGGTTGTGTCTGTTGTGTGACGATGCTGATAGCGGTACAATTCTTTTTTCTTTTTTCTTTTTTTGTTTCCTTACATGATGGGATCACCCTCTTGGGTTGACAAAGTGTTCTGAGGGGAACCGGGGATATTTTCTCTTAATTGTAGAAATTGGCATATAGAATGGGAAAGTACATTCGGCTCGGCGTCTATGAGTTAGGCCGCCACGCCCCTCGCTTGTATACTGATGTGTGGGCGTTCATCGCATTTGTGGTTGTCCTTTGCGGCATGGACATCCTTGCCGTATTCGTATCCTGGGGCGGCCGACCTGATATGGTGCTGCGCGGCGTAGATTACAACGGGAACGTTTGTGGTCGTCCTCTTGAGCCGAACCGATTAAATATCACTTCGTATGAGTGGGAATCAATGCGGTTTTTGTGGTATCCATTCCAGCTCAATTCGGCGACCAACGTTTTTTTTACAGGTGTGACCAACATGGGAATTTGTGTCAAGGGGTGCCCATCTGCGGGAGACACCGTAGTGACGTACGGAGGTTTGAGCAATTTTCCCACAGTGTTTTCGGTGCAGTTTAACTCCTCGGTGCAGTTGTGGCGGTGTGTGCCTGATTCTAAGACGCTTGATTGTGGCCATTCCGCAGCATGTGAATCTCAACGAGTCCTGATGAAGGATCTGGTGTCGGATGCGGTGCAAATTGATAACTTCATCTTTGGCCTATTGAGAACCTTGCATGATCAATGGTTTGTGTTCTTCGCCGTGTTCTTTCTGTGCCTCACTCTGTCTTCTGTGTGGGCGCAGTCGATGCGGTATGCTGCGAGACCTATTGTAGCCATCACAGCATCGTCATTCTTTTTTATGCTAACAGCATGTGGCTTTGCCATGCTTTGGCGGTTCAAGACAGTCGCGGGTGACTATCGATATGTGTGGCTGTCTGGGGGCATTCTGTCGCTTTTTGTAAGCTTCGTATATGCCTGCATGCTTATGTACTTTTGGAAAAGTATCCGTTTGGGGTGCACGATCATTGAGGAGGCGAGTAAAGCAGTGATAGCTATGCCCTCCATGCTAAGTGTTCCGCTTGTGGGTTCGTTTTTAGAGGTCGTAATGTGGACGATTTTTTTCTTTACCACAGCCATGTTGTATTCCTATCCCAATCCAGGCGTCGAGGCCGTGCAGTGGGATGGTGAAGTATACCACGTGGCGGTGATAAAGTCCGCCGATGCATGGGCGATTGCGGGACATGCATACAGCGTGTGTGTCTTGCTCTGGTGGGCAGCAGTGTTGAACGCTGGCGTGACTCTCATAGTGGCTTTAATAGTCACCCAGTGGTACTGGTCAGAGCCTGGGAGTGTGAAGTCAGCCCCGCGTGACGCCGTGCGGTGGTCGGTCCGCACCACGCTGAGGTATCACCTTGGCACCCTGGCCTTGGGCGCCATTCTTACCGCACCCCTTCGTGTTGCGCGGCTGTTCCTTCGATTACCGTTGAGGCGGCTGTGCAGTTGTTTTTGCAAGAGGGATACCACCTCCTTCTTGTTTTGTTGTTGTCACTGCTTTATTGACTTATTCGAATCAGCGGCACGTGCCCTCAGCGAGAAGGCGTTCTTCGTGACCGCCCTGACGGGTGAGCCATTTTTTTCTTCCGCACGACATGCTACCACTCTGCTGCACCGCAATCCCACAATTCTCTCTCTCGGCATCCTCAGCGAAATAATTTTTTTTTACACCAAAGCGCTTTTGACGTTCGCTACAACAGCGGTCGGCGCTTTCTGGCTCTGGAGAGCCAACGACGACACGGAGCCGCAGGCAAATACTGTAGCCCCTGTCATGTACCTCGCAGTGATGTCATACACAGTCACGTCTCTTTTCGCGGATGTCTACTCGGCGAGTGTACAGACTCTTCTGCTGTGTTTCTGTTACGATCTGATTACGTTCAATGGCGCTGAGCGGCCCCTCTTCTACTGGGAGAGTTTGGAGGAGGCTCTGACGACATCTCCAACGCAGTTTCGCCTGCGGCCGTCAACGATGGAAGAATGCCTAATTCAAAATGACGGATATGTGACCTGCTTGTATGGGAACGTGCGCTACATAACATCAACAAGAGACGATGGGAATGAATTGGAGAGATAATTTTCGTGTCGCCACTGCGGGGTGTTGATAGTTTTGGTCAAATGAAACATGAAAATGAAAGGACACTCTATCCGTACACAGGCACATGAGCAGCAAAACAACAGAAACGACAACAACAACAGCAAAAAAGAAAAACAACACGTGACACAAGTAGACAACAACAAAAAAACCACGATCCCCATTTTGCCCATTGTCTTGTTCCATATCCCTGACAATTATTTCTGCAATACGTATCAAAACGCGTGGAAAAGGTTGAACGGAGGCTCTATACATTTTGCAGTCTATGCTTGATTTTTACAGACTATTTTGTTTTTGTGTCTATACGTATATATATATATATATATATACATACACAAGTGTATAAGTGTTTTTTTCTTTGCCTTTTTCTCTGGATGGAAGGGCCAAAGCACCGCATTTCGAGAAAGAAAAAAAATGAAAACAATCAAACAAAAAAAAGTGAGTTTTCTTGGTTCATGATGACAACGTTTTCTCGAACTGCGTTTTCACGCACTGTGGCTGGCTAGACTCGAGGCGTTGAGAAACGTTCTGATGGTGACCAGTGGGGCGGAGGGCACTATTGAACGTATTCTGCACCCGTCGGACAGCGACTACAGCGGCATCAAACATCTGGAAGCAAACCACTGCAGCCGGCAAACTGGTGACGCTGGGTCCCCGCCAATATCTTGTTTCGGGCCTCATCGACCTGCACGTCCACGCGCCGCGGCGGCCACAGGCAGAGAAGTGCCTTTACTTGTCCCTGAACGTTTGGCTGCAAAAGGTAACGCTTCCGCTGGAAGCAATGTTAAGGGATGTAGCCTTTGCTAACCTTGCAAACGTAACATTAGTAGAAACAATACTGGCGAACGGGGTGGTTCCACCGCTGCGTACTACGGCTCCAGTGACGTGGATCGGAGCGTACAACACACAAAGGTTTGCTTACGGAACATCCGGCGATCAGTGGTTGGTCGTGTGGCAAAGAAAGTTGTAAAGAAATGCCCGGAATTCTACCGGGACGCCACTGCTGCCGATTCTGTTGAGAAGAACGTCGTCTTCATTGGTGCTGTCAAGGCTCTGAAAAGCAACGACCACCGACTGGGGCCCCCGCCTGCTGAGCCACGTTTTCTCCCAGCGTGCGCCACAGAGACTCTTCGGGGAATTGGGAGAAGTTGGGCAGCAACACAAGTGCCATGTGCAGGTGTGCTGCTCAGGGGGGGGGGGTATTAGGAACACCATTGCAATATTAACTGATTCAATAAATACGATGCATCCGCGTTGGAAGAGACGGGCTTCGTGACGAGGCGCGGTATTTAGGTGTGGTCGAACTTCCTGTCGACCGAGGACATGAATGTCTTCTTTAGCCGTGGTGTTCCTGTGACTTCCTGCCCACAAAAACCTCCACATTGGGCTAGGCACAACCCCTCCTTCCTTGACTGCTGTCGTTACAGTGTTGTGACTCCCTGTGCACTGGAGGATTGCGCCAATTCCAGCAATGACGTAAGGGAGTGAAATGACACTGGAACGGCTGCCGAGCTAAGTTCATTAAAGCCTTGTGACCATGCGACGACACAGGGCGACGTGGCCCTTGATCTGAAGATAATAAAATTGCACCTGGATAGGCGTTTCACAGACTGGCGATTGGCTTGGACGCACGCGCCAGAAACGTGAAGGTGCTTTATGGTGAAGACAGCTCTGGAGGAAATCCTCCAGAATGTTCTGTACAACACTTCTTCAGGGAACGTTGTGCAGACCCGGGTCGGCGGAGAGCTGGTATATCAGCTCTAAGCCATGCAGGGAACAGTTTGTTTTTGATGCTGGTACGTTTAAAAAAAAAATATCCTATGCAAGAATACATAGACCGTGATCATAGTTTCTATCTTCTAATATTCATTTTCCTTTGAGTCTCTTCTGATAATGAGTCCCGAGAAGGATCTAACGAAGGGTGCTGTGGTCGCCTTAATTTCCCTTTGATGTATCTTTTTAAATATATTAATGGGTGGGATTGCCTTTTGGTCTATTGATTTGAACACAGTCTGTGGCGAAGACAAAAGAGGGTAAATATCATACGCTTTTTCTTTCTCGTCTTTAGGGAAGTAAGACCTAGACCATTCCTGTGGTATAGCTGCAAAGAGACAGCAATGGGTGAGCCCAAGCAGACAATCTACATACGTGGTCTGCCGGACAAGGTGTCAGCAGAAGAAATGCGTCGCGCACTGTACTTGTACTGCACGCAGTTTGGCCCTGTGCTGGAGGTGTCGTACCGTAAAAGCGTCGGCATGTATGGGCAGGCCTTTGTTGTCTTTGCCGATGTGGCCACTGCCACGAGTGCCCGCCGCGAACTGAACGAGCGGCAGTTCTACGGTCGAGTGACGCAGGCCTTCTACGCCAAGCGGCAGTCATTTAGTGCTGACCCCGGTGAGAGACGGCGCAGGGATATGCGGCGTGAGCGGGAGTCGGGTGTAAAGCGGCGGCGTGAGAGTTAAGAGAGGTATATATATATATATATATCTTCAATCACACTGCCTATTTTTGCCATCTATCCTTGATAGGTGGGTCTCGCACAGTTGAGCCATTTTTTTTCTTTTGGCACCTGTCCTCAATTTTTTTCTCTAACCTTTTTGAATCTCTTTCATACCCTGCAGGACACCTAGAGGCCTGAGCTGACTCGGCCAAGCGTGCACATAAGATGGCTAAAACAATAATAGATGAGGAGCAAGGTGCTGAACAGCTTATTAACGAATTCTTAGAACGCTACAGCAGCCTTGTGTCACGATTCTTGACATCGTCGTTGCGCACACGTGCTATTCTTGCTCCTGCGCCACCATCCGCATCTTTTCCCAAGCCAGTGGGGTCGAATGCGCGGATTATGGGGAGAAAGGTAAATGGTGCGAAGCCGCACATGACGGCCGATGAGGATGCGGTCGATTTCGCTACAGAGAGTGCTGTGCTTCTCCTGCGGCTGCGCTCTCTGTTGGAGAAACACCTAAATCAAGATGGACAGACACCGGTGCTCCCAAGTGCAGGGACAACGACTGGAAACCCCGACAGAGAGAAACAGTTAGCGGGTAAACGGCATTGCGTCAATGGCCACTGTGTAGCGCCGCCGTCAAGACGTGCGTCACAGCAGGTACATCCTCCATTTCCCACCACTGCGGCGGCTGGGGAGGCCAAAGACGTTGACGCCACGAGGCATATCACCGGTGCTGCGGATGCCAAGTTTCAGGCACAAACGGCGAGATTTTCAATGGGGTGTCAATGCCCCTCTTTATCGCAAGGTACAACGCCGAAATGTGAAGGGGGTGACTCATTCCTCCACATTGCACACGGTCGTCTAACTTTTGCGCTACAGCGACATACTGGTGAAAGCATCCTTTCGCTGGACTCTGCCCTGAACGAGTCGGAGATGGGCCTCTCGAGGATAGGTGAGCGTGCACTGCGCATTCAAACAGGTTACGTGGATGGGATTGCGCGGGAGCTCAAAAGGGAACAAGGACGACTCGACGAAAAGCAGCGTGATGGGCATGTATTAAATATACAGGAGAAGTTATATTACCGCGAGATCATGGAAGTGCTGGAGCGCCTTGAAATGGCTTTGGCAGAGGTGAACTATACGACAGTCGTGGAGGAGGTAAGCGAGGGCGGTGAAAGTGGTGGTGCTGGTGGCCGACGAGCCTCGAGTGGCGACAGCAATGGGAATGACCTTGCCAGTGTGTTCGGCCGCGGAGGTGCTGGCTTCGTGTCGAGGCTGGTTGTGCAGAACGTGCAGTGTTTTTTATCGGTCCTTGTTTGCACAAGCAACTCTCCACATAGGTGGGGTTACCTTGATAAGGTGTTATTTCTTACTGACTCGGAGAGCCCGGTGCCCACTGTGCCAGTGGAAATGAACGGCACGCCGTCGCGTGGATCAACTGACATGTGCCTGGAGAAAACGTTGTCGCGGGAGCGCTCCACGAGTGTAAAGACGAACGACAGAATTGAAGAGTGGGCAGAGGTGAGAAGCACCAATTCCCCGCGGCAGGCCTGTGAGCAGAAGCTTCGGCAACTTGTGGTGAAGTTTCGCCCGTGCCATGCTTACGAGAAGGTTCAACGATATTGTATCCCCTTTGACGTGAAGGGTGTGTGGTAGTTTAGTGCTCTTTTCGAATCACGGGTGCAGCACACTACCTCGGTGTGGGGGCAAAAATAGGCACACCTGCGAATACAGCGGTCTGTGACGGATAAAAACTTCAAAGGAAAATTGCAGTTATAACGGAGCAAAGGGAGAGGAACATGTGGGGGTGTAGACGTTAGAATCATGCTCTTTGGGCCTTGTGTTGGCTCTGCGGTCCTCTTCCTACGAAGCAGATAGGCTTCGTTTTACTCCGTTGCAAGAAGATTTTTGTTTTCCCATTCTTGTACAAAATACACACACATACGCACAGACACATACACATACACTCACAGAAAGGGAAAGAGAGAACCACGAGAAACGAGTTGACTTGTTGCAAAACGCAGATTATTTTCGATCGCTCATTTTTGGTGCTCGATACCAACATGAACTATAAGCGTTAAATGGCACCACTGCTCTTTGTATGACCTTCTTCCCTTATCGTCACATCTTCTCCGTCTTATTTTTTTTTTTTGTTTTACTCTACCAAGAGACTCTTGTAGATTCACTTTTACAGCAGCAGAAGCAGAAAGAGCCGCTTTCGACATCCAGGGTAAGAATGTCGTCCGAACTCAAGTCAGGTCCTCTTCCAGCTGACATCGAGGATGTCGTTGCGAGCATCATGCGTGAGGAGGGTGTTAACTTCCTCACGAACAAGATTCTGCGCCTGCGCCTGGAGGCGCGGTACCGCATTGAGTTCACATCACACAAGGCTGCTCTAGATCAAATAACCTCCAAGCTTATGCAGCTCCCCGAGTTCAAGAAGCAACTGGAGAATGCCTTAAAGGAGAAGAAGGCGGCAAGCGCCATTGGCGGCAAGGGCAAGAAGCGCAGCAGCAGCCCCAAGGCCGACGCCAAGGACGCAAAGCGTGCTAAGAAGGAAAAAAAGCCAGACGACTACCCGAAGGCAGCGCTCTCCGCCTACATTCTCTTCGGTAACGACCACCGCGACAAGATCAAGGCTGAGAGCCCCGACATGAAGAACACCGAAATCCTGCAGAGACTGGGCAAGATGTGGGCCGACGCGTCGGAGGCTGTGAAGGAGAAGTACAAGAAGATGGCCGACAACGACAAGAAGCGCTTCGAACAGGAGCTCAGTGAGTACAAGAAGTGCGGCGGCGAGGTGTACAAGCGCGGTGGCGGCAAGGTCAAGACGAAGGACGAGAACGCGCCGAAGCGGCCCATGTCTGCGTACATTTTCTTTGCGAATGATTTCCGCAAGAAGAACCCCAACCTCGGTGTCGCGGAGACGGCGAAGGGGGCTGGCGCTGCGTGGAAGAATCTCTCGGAAGACGCACGAAAGCCGTTCAATGCCATGGCAGAGAAGGACAAGGAGCGCTACCAACGCGAGATGGCGGCGAGGGCTAACTAAGGCAGAAACATGCACACAATATGCACGTAAATAGCTCGGTGAAGCGGCCGGGGAACGGAGAAAGGTGAGATGTGGCGCGTTTTCTGTGTGCTAATGGATAGACACGGACACATTACAGAGACAGATAGAGAAAGAAGAAGAGGAACTGATACAGCTTGTCATTTTTGAGTGCTTCATTTACTCTTCCTTCACCTACGCTGCGCGTGCTGATCCTTTTATTGTGTTACTTTATAGAGTTCTTTCCGGTTGGTTGCGTTTGGGCTGAGCGGTTTGACGGCAAAGTGAGGAAAACAGAGAGGGTCAATCCGACGCACAAACGTACACAGAGCGGAGTAGCCTTGCAGAGGGGGAACCGTGTTGTGGACACAACAGAGGTAAAAAGGGAAGGATGAGGTGTCTGTGTGTGCGTNGGGGGGGGGGGGGGGGAAGAGGCACCAAAATAAAAATGTGGCAAATGCTGAAGAAAACAAGGCAAGGAAACATTAGCTCCCAAAGGGAAATAGGGTGACCTCAACTATCTTTTCTTTTTTTTTATTATATACATTTGCTCGCTCTTCTGAAGGCGCGCACGCATCAATACCCCTGAGGGCCGTTGATGCGCAGTGGATTGGTTCTCTCTGTGTCTGTGTACGCGCATCTATGTGTACATATGCTCTTGCTCCGTGTTGTATCTCTGGGACAAGTGGTTCAAGGCGACACTGCCATAGGTGACACAGACAAGGAACAGGGGGTGGGTAAAAATGCCGAGCTGTGAGCGTATGCCGCTGCATCGGTTTCACAGCCGAGAGTCGCGACTTTACTCGGAGAATTGTGTGCGGGAGCTGACACATGGCAAACAGTTTCAAGCGTACACGACTCACGTTGAGTACAACGAGCACCTTCAATTGTCTTGGTTCATCGCCCCAATTGGTATAATGATTGCTTTCTACTATCATTTATTGTTCCTGTTCCACGACACATACTCGGCGCTTGCAGATGGAGCTGTTGTCACTGCTCCTTGCTTCTTCACCACAACGCTGCTCTTGGTATTCTTCGTTGCACCTTGTGTTGTGATTGCGCCATTCGCGGGATTTTTTGAACTCATCTCACGGAGGCGGGCTTTAAGCCTCTTGGGTTTCTTCACATGCATCAATATTGCTGTGGTTTCATTTGGCGGTAAGTGGCTTCACCACCCGCCGTACTTGATCAGCGACCCGCCTGTGCCGTTACACACCAGCAAGGTCTCTGCGGCGTGGCCGCTGGTGAAGGTGGTGCTGGTGCGGGCGCTTCCACTGCAAGGAGCTATTGTTGCCGGATGGCTGGTGCATGTGTGGCGAAGCATGCGGTGGGATTGTTCGTGGCGTGTGCCGCTGCCTCTTCTAACAATTCCTGCTTTCATCGGAGCCTTTGCCTGCTTCTGGTTCCGTGCTGTGAGTCTCCTCACTGCCTCCGTGCTTCTTGAGGAGGAGCTGGACGTCACTGGCGCTGTCGCGGGCGTGGTGGCTGTTATGAGGCGGGACGTGCTCGACATGGTCACGGGACGCACATTTCCCACAGCGTTCACCGACGCTGGCGAGCGCTACCAAGTGTGGTGCACCGCCCTCGCGCTGGCCGTGCTGTACTTCGTAGGCATGCTGCTTCCGGCGGCGTGTGGCGCTGCGGGCGGCATCCGCTGGCTGCTCCCCACGCACCCGACGACGTGGGGTCTCACGCTCACCGCATGCCTTGCTGGACTTTCGGCGGTGACGTTAGGGGACCACGGCAGCGTGGCACATCTGCTGGGTTTGCTCGTAGTCGTAGGCATGCTGCTGTACAATGGCGTTGCGCTTCCACTGTGATGTAGTTGACTTCTGAACGAAGTGCGCGGCCGAAAGAAAATGCGTTAATACATGAGTGAATGGATTAGGCTAAAGTAATGACGTGGAAAAGTTATGCACGCCCCCCAAAAGTTTTATTGTCTCTTTGTGGTAGTGACGTTCTCTCTTTCCCACTCCGCATTCTTAACTGTTTGTTTGACCTGCCCGAGGCTCTCCCACATTGAAGGGGGTCTAGAAGAGAGTGGAGACATGCAACACACCACAGACACGGAGGCCGCAACGCCGCACAGTGATCGTGGCGCGGCTGTGCTCTCGCCACCAGCGCATGATGCAGTAGAGGAAGATGCTCCAAAGGCACCACCGCTTCTGCCTTCAGCTGATGACAACCCACCGGCGCCGTGCTACGATGAGGAGCGTGAACCGAGCGTCGCTACGATGCGTGCGACTGCCACCCATACGGGTGAGGCGCAGCAGACCGTTGTTGATGCGACTTTGTCCCGCGACGAGAACACCGAGAGGTCGGCGTTAACGGAACGGCAGGAACAACCAAGTCAGCAAGAGGCGGAGACCGGCCCTGCCGACGTGGAGGAGGAAGAACAAAGAGAAGGGGACGAGGAAAAGGAAGACGAAGAAGAACAAGTGGAAGAAGAAGAAGAGAGAGAGGAGGAAGAGGAAGAAGATCAGGAAGAGGAAGAAGATGAGGAGGAGGACGATTTGAGGGATGAGGAAGAGACCTACGACGAGGAGAACGATGAGGAATTCAACGAGGAGGAGGAGGAGGAGGATTATGCGGGCGATGAGGAGCAGGAGGAGGAAGAGGAGGGCGACTACGAGCCACCGGGCGATGAGGACCAGAGTGCCGCGTCCAAAAAGGGCACGTTCTTCATCCGCGGCAGGCGGTACGCGGCATCTGCCTTCGTGCACAACNTGGGCTTCACGGCGGCGCAGAAGAAACTGCGCGGGAATCCCAAGGCAACGGTCACCATGTGCACCCTCCCGCGCCCGCACAATATCCTGAAGTGCCCCAAGCTCCACCTGACCAACCGAGCGGTGATGGTGGGTGACTGCTATGTGCGCATCAACATGCTGGTGAACAATCCGGCGCGCGTTGCTTTGCTCAGCAAGCCGTCGCAGGCGGCCGGGACTGCATTCTGTACTGATGCTGATGCTGCAGGAAGCGAGGGGCACGACGCCACCACATGTACGGCGCTGCACCTTCTTCCCGGCATCGTCTTCGTGGGAAGCCCCGAGCTGAAGGTCGGCTACTTTGAAGCGGAGCTTCATGACAACATCGCCCTGCAACGTCTAAAGAGTGGCACCGACACGTGTGGCCGTTGGTGCCGGACTCGGCGTTCTCACGTTGTGGTGAAGTGCTCCTTTGTGCACTACAACCGTGGCAGCACGTACACAGAGGCCCCGCGGCAACCATCAATGCCACTGGCTGTCGTGCCTAGTCTGCGGCCTCGACTGCCGCGGCCGGCGGTGAGTGGAGGCCGTGGAGGCCGTGGTCGTGGTGGCCGTGGTGGACGTGGACGTGGGGGCAGAGGCGGCGGAAGAGGCAGGGGCTATGGCCGTGGTGGTAGTGGCGGTGGCCGCGGCATCCTGCGGCATCCCGCGGCGCAGCCGCTGTTTTCTCCAGCAACTGCCGTGGCTAATGTAGATGATGACCTCGGGGGTTCCGTGACTGGCATGGGCTCTCCCCTGTCAGAGGACACTGTGCAGGCGCGTAAGGAGCAGTTTCTGAATATAATGCTTCTATTGTTGGGATTTATTGTCACAGTACTGGCGTACCTGCTGAGTTGACGGGCATGCGCAGAGCTCCATTTACAACGACAATCTGCCTGGATCATATTTCACGTTTAAAGTTTTTATAACGGTGATATTCTTGGATGTACTAACAGAGTGAAAAAAGAAAAAAAATCAGAGAATCTGTCGCCGCTGTATCCCTTTTCTGTTGACAGTTTTTGCTGAATTCCATGTGCTGGGCGGCTGCGAGAAACTGGAGCGACATCTCGTAATGTCCTTTTCTGCATGCGTGTAGTGGAGTGATGCATCCGTCGTGCAGCTCGTTGCCTCATTACGAACGCAACACGCGGCGACTGGCTGCTCAGCTTACTTTCTCTTTGGCGTGCTCAAGTAACCCTAATGGGACAGAACTGTCTATTCCACATGCAGTATTGGATACACTAACGAGAAACTGACAGCGGAGTGGAATAAAACCTTTCTCCCCCCGCGCAGTCCCTTTATATCTCCCCCCATTCAAATTTTATCGGTTGATATTCTCCCTTTGTACGACTCATGCCTTTCGTTACATTTGTGCTCTTGCAGCAATACAGTAGGCCTTCATTGCCCACGTGCCGCGGAGGTGGAGTGAAGACATATAAGCCATAGTTGTCCTGACGACGCCACATGCTTGCTGGGGTGCTTCAAGAGTCACTTGCAACTCGTAAGAAAGCTTGCATCATTTCCCTTGCCGCCACCACTGTCGGCTCAATAGCCGTTTCACTGACGCTTTATGCTTGGTGGAAGAGGCGGTCCGAGTCCAAGCGGGACGATGAATTGTTCGGCGACGTTTCGGGGTCCCCACTTTTTGATCCTGATGTAAAATTCCCTGCAAAGATGTCTATGACGGCTCCCAACGTCAGTGCCGAAGCCATGCACACTGGTGCTCTCTCCACAGAAGAGCGCGCGCAAGCTCTGCGGTTGGCACGAGAATTGCTGCAACAACTACACGGCCCGGCGCACGAGGAAGGCGCCAGCGTCGAGGAGGACAGCTCAGATTCGGAAGAGACGAACGTGTCACTTAATTATCACATTGCCACTGAGATGGCGAAAGGAGCGCGTGACAGTTTGGTGGAGGCAGTGGTTCACGGAAAGGTGATGAAGGAGCATGCGAGGGGGAAGCAGCTCACACTCGCTGACTTTGCGCACATCCTTGAGGGCGCGGTGGATTACCTTGACATCTCGAATGAGCGCGAAAAGTTACGTCATCGTCGCATAGCCGCACACCTCGTGGAGCCACAGAGCGGCGGGCGCGCGCTTGCTGCTGCCGACCAAAACACTGGCCACCAGGTGCAGCAGCGTGCGACAATTGATGAAATCTACGCGCGGTTCTTCTCCCGCACGACGGAACTGGACCGGCGGCTGAGTGCCCCTCGACGCCGCCGCCGCCACTACCCCACGGAAGAGGAGGATTATGATGCGGATGATTATGATAACGATGAGGGGGAGGAACGCTTCGAGATGGGCTGGGGCGACAACGCGGACGACGACGCGGCTGAAGTGGATCTCATGGCGTACCTCGACCAGGACGACGCGGCCGGCTACGGCAGCCGCATGGAGGCCCGCATGGCGGAAATGCTGGCAACCGATCAGGGGTTGATGTACGCAGACGAAGGCATGTACGATGGGTATGAAGAGGGCGAAGATGAGGATTATGGGGATGAGGAAGAGGATGACGATCTGGAGAATGCGGGGTTTGACCGCATGCTGTTCAACAAGCTGCAGCAGTTGGCGGCGAGTCTGGGGAATCATGGCGCACCTGCTGGAGCCAAGGGGCCTTCTGGAAGTAGCCAGCTTGGAGATCAAGCGGAAGGAGAAATGAAGCAACATCATCAGCAGCAGAAACGTAGAACTGGAGGGGATGAGAACGAGGGAAGGGAGGGAGAGGACGAAGATGATAGCGATGATGAATGGGAAACGGAGGGCGATGACGACGAGGACAATACACAGAATGAGACTTCAAGGCTACCATCGCACATGACATGTACTGGGAGAAGAAGCAAGCACTGAGTGGTGTGGAGGCGTGAAGTGAAAAGAGGCGTCGTATAATCATTGGCGACTGGTAATAAACGACAACTCTTCATTCAATGTGGACGAAGCAGCGCTATCCCCTGCAGAGTGCTACACTACAACACATCAGGTCTGCTTTCCTCTTCGTTCTTGTTTTTAAATTTCATTTGTCTTGATATGACCACAACCGAGGCGGATGCTTAAATGCCCACCTTTAGCGACCCCACAATGTCGCCTAGTTCGACGCCTAGCGGTGTGATGCCTCTGGACGCCGATGTGAAGAGACTCGAAGTGTCCGCCGCGGGTCTGGCGCGTGAGTTCGGAGAACTTGTGGCGTCGTACGAGAGCTGCGCGGCCAAGGCCGGGAGCGCAACAGTGGAGAACAGCGCAGCTTTATTGCAAGGCGTGATCTATCTTGAGGAGCAGCTGCGCGGGGCAATGACATCTTTAAACGACTTGCTGAAGGGCATGACTGCAATGGCCGCCGCAGTCGAGGGCCTGGAGGGTCTCCTCAACGACATACGAAAAGTCGCGCAGGACGTCACGTATGTCGAGGAAGCGTTGCTGGCTGCAGAAGAAGGGGCACGGCAACTCTCTGAAAGGAGGAAGGACAACAACGACTAAATATGGTTTCATGGGTGAGTCAAGTGTTTTGATGCGTTGTACCATTCCTAAGAGGGGATGAGAACTCTACGTGCGGTCCTTGCGGAAACAAACCACCTTTTACATCAACTCTTTCTTTGTATTGTGTGTCATTTTCCTTTGGTGAAGGAAGAAAAACAAAAAGAGGGCCTGACTCGCGCAGTTATACTGTGTCTATGCTGGAGTCTTTTGAAGACGCGTACACGGATTACTTGTCCAGCCTGCTGTGCCACACCGACGTGGATGTGAACATTGTTAGGGAGACACTCCGCTCAGTCGGCATAGATGAGGCGGACATCAATGATATGCTGGGAGACGGTCTTCACAGATGTCCGTCAAGTGCCACATCTGACTCGTCGTGCTGTGAAGGGCATACACCAAGTAGACATTCGGTGGCGAGCCCCAACGAAATCTCTGTTTTTTCTTCCAACAGCGAGAGGCCTGATGCTCTGCTTGGGCACACACACGCGCCACGAGGAGAGGTCGCGCAAAAGCAACAACAAACCCGGTGCGTTTCACCTAGTGTATCTGCAGTGTCGTCGAGTGCCGATGGGGAACCGCCGGCGCACAAGCAGGGTTCACCGCCCTTGTCACCCGACGCAGCGGACTCTAGGGGAGAGGGACTGCAGCGTTCTCAGGAGAGGATGTGGGAAAACTTCATCGTGACACCTGAGCGACGTGATCGTTACAGGACGCATTTGCGTGCCCTGGAGAGACTTCTTGGCGTCGCCTTGCACCTTGTTGACAGTGGCGGTGAGGACAGTCTGCCGCTAGAAATTCGTAGCTTTCTCTGCCGCCAGCGCATGGAAAAGTGGCTGCTCAGTGGGTGCAGGAAAAAGGAGTTGCTTTCTCCTCCTCCTCCTCCTCCTCCTCCCTCTTTGCCTCCACCACGGAGGAGACCAAAAGAGCGGCTTGACGGGGCTAGACGAATACGGGAAGAGAAAGAACTTCGGGGTGGGCACTGCACCAGTCGCGTTAAGGGCTGTGAAGTGCATCCGCCGCGCGGCCGCCATCACGGGAGCCCCCAAAGACATGTGACAAGCAGTAGCAGCAGTGGCTCTCGACGGCAGTGCGAGTTGTGTGCAAGCCTGGAGGACAGGTTCCTTTCTGCTCGCGGAGCAGGGCGTCTTCACCAGCCGCAGATAACACCAGTTGCGGTGGGGAATTCATGTGGTGTGAAGATGCTGCCCCAGGTTATGAATACTGTTGGATGTGGGCGGATGAGCGCTAAGGCCGTCGTGACGACGCTACCTCACCGGGAAGACCGTGTAAGGAAGGCGCTGGCATACCGCGATGAATGGAGCACTATTGGCGTTTTGGAAGGGCACAATAATATGCCATGGAGGATTTGTCACGCTACTAAATGTGGTGGGGTGTGTTGACGTTTTATTTTTCTTACTTTTTACCTTTGCTCATAGAGTGGGGCCAGGAGCCCTGCCATGCCGTGGTTGGGCAAGATAATCATAGAGTGGCGTTTCCTTCCACGCCCAAATCTTTTAGCTAACCGAAGATTGCTGTATTTTTTCCCCCTTGTGGGCTCAATGATCCTGAATGGTGATTGGCGGGTGCGTATAAACACACACACACACACACACACACACACACATTTCTCACTCTTTTATCTGCGCGTAGTTATTAAGGTATGTTTGGCATCGGACAGGCATCAGCGGGCACAGGGTTCGCGACTGCCCCTGCAGCATCTGCTGGGAAGAGTGCGCCTACTGCAGGCTTCAGTGGCTTTGGCACCAATACCACAACTGGTGGTTTTGGTGCGAGTACCACCGCTACAACTGGTGGCTTTGGTGCGAATACCACCGCTACAACTGGTGGCTTTGGTGCGAATACCACCGCTACAACTGGTGGCTTTGGTGCGAATACCACCGCTACAACTGGTGGCTTTGGTGCGAATACCACCGCTACAACTGGTGGCTTTGGTGCGAATACCACCGCTACAACTGGTGGCTTTGGTGGCGCATCAAGCGGCTTTGGCGGCTTTGGCGCCAATAAAGGATTCGGCACTGGAACAGCGATCGGGGGTCAGCCGCAGGTGCCACCGTACAAGGGTATAAAAGGACCCGGATTCTCCACTGACTGGTCGCGCAGCGTGAACTTCGCAACTCTTCGCGATGATGTGCTGTTTGAGGAATTGCCTCCGGCACTGCAGCAACACTTGATGGAGCTGCACAATTTCATTCAGGACGAACACGAGGCCAAACGCTTTGTGGAGTCCTTCTTAACCGATTCTGTGGGGCCTGGTTCTGGTAGTTCCTTGAGCTACAGGGAATTGCAGAAAAAGTTGGGTCAGCTTGCAACTGGAGAGAACACCGTGGACGCGATTCGCGTTGACTGCTTCGAGCGGGAAACTCACGCGCAGCACCTCAGTGCTCTCCTGGAGGAGTGTGAGGAGGAGGTTGCCCAGTACTCCAAGCATGTGTGGGAGCCGCTGGCAGAAAAAGATTTCATGCAGCGACGCAGTGGCAATCGATCTGAACCTCCATCCGAGCCGTTTCAGCGTTGCCTCCGCGAGATTCAGGCTCGCATGGAAGAGATCTCTGCAGCTGTGACGGAGCTGGAACTTGCTGTACTACCTAACGGACAAAGGCAAAAGCGCGTGGCCGCTGCGGACAACAGCACCGCCAACGCCGCCACAGAGCCATCTTCTTCCACTGCACTTTTTGCACGATACACCGCAGGTCAGGACCCATCGGAGGCTACAACCGGCAGAGTGTCCACAGTGTCTTCGCATCCAGTTGCGCAGATGAACACCACTCTTAGCAACGAGCTCACAGCCCTTCTTAATTTGGCTGCGTGGACATCTCGGCTCCACGCAAGGGTGGATGTCGCTCGTGATCTTTTCGCTCACTTGTATGGAGCCTCTGAGGCTGAGGTGCTGCTTGCCCAACAGCAGCGACAATCACCTATGGGGCCCAAAAGGCCGTTTTCCCTTCACCCGGCCACTGCATCACCAGTTGCCGACGTCGATTACGAGACGATTGGTGACATCCATAGACGGTCTGTCGGTCTAGATCGTTTAGGCGCCATGGGGAACGGGGAGCGCAGAATGCAGTATGATGTGTTGCTCGAGCGTCAACGGCAGGCCACAGCTCCGGCAGCCGCCCCCAGCACTGCTACCGGCTTTGGTGCCGCAGCTGCTTCCGGAACTGCTACCGGCTTTGGTGCCGCTGCTGCGCCCGGTGCAACGGCTGGCAGTACCGCAGCTGCT